TGAGTATATGGTAGCATCTTACTGTAATATTAATTTGCATTTATGTGGTAACTAATGATGTTGAACATCTTTTAAAGTGCTTATTGCACATCTGTATATTGTCCTTAGTGAAATGTCTGTTTGAATCTTTTGTCCATTTTCTATCGAATTATCTGTATTATTGAGTTTTTGAAGTTCTTCCTCATTCACTTACTGTGCATGTAGAATAACACTTGAAAAAGTAAATTAAAAATTTAAGAAACCCTCTAGGTCTATCCAAACTGTTACTAAAGGTAAGATAAGTCAGTCAGAGAAAGAAAAATACCAAATTATTTCACTTACATGTGGAATCTAAAGAACAGTATAAATGAACAAAATAGAAACAGACTCATAGATACAGAGAACAGACTGATGGTTATCAGAGAGGAGGGGTTTGGGGGACTGAGTGGAAAAGGTGGAGGGATTAAGAAGTACATATTGGGAAAAAAGAAGTACAAATTGGTAGTTATAAAATAGTCATGAGGAAGTAAATACAATATAGAAAATGTAATCAATAATATTTTAATAACTATGTGTAGTGCCAGGTGGGTACTGGAAATATCAGGGGGGATACTTTGTAAAGTAAGTATATGATTGTCTTACTACTATGTTGTACACGAGAAACTAATATAAAATAATATCAAATGTAAACTGTAATTGAAAAATAAAACTAAAAAAAGTTTTAAGGCCGAAACCGATTTAGCTCAATGGATAGAGTGTCGGCTTGGGGACTGAAGGGACCCGGGTTCGATTCCGGTCAAGGGCATGTACCTTGGTTGCGGGCATATCCCCAGTAGGGGGTGTGCAAGAGGCAACTGATCGATGACTCTCTCTCATCGATGTTTCTAACTCTCTATCTCTCTCTCCATTCCTCTCTGTACAAAATCAATAACATATATTTAAAAAATAAAAGCTTTAAGAATCTATTCCATATGTGTACATTTGGACAGTCTAATAGTCCATACACCAAAATTATTAACAACTCTTGTCTGTAGCAAAAGGGTATGGGTACACATTTAATATATTTTCATATTGCTTTTCAACAATCATATAAAATGTGAGAAAGTTACTGTCTCTGGCTGAGGGAAAGTTATAAATAAAACACAAATAAGAAGCCAAAAATTTGCCAGCAGCAACCAAATGAGGAAAGGAGTAAAGTCTCAAGTCATAAAGTTCAAAAGATTATGGCTAAGAAAACAGAATAAAGATATAGCTCAGTAAAACTCCTTCCAATATGGAGATGTGCAAAACTGAGTGAGTGACTAAGCAGTCCTGGGATAAGTCAAGGAAAATAGAATCCTTAAGATTTGTAGTCCCAGATATCCCTGGGGAACCTCAACTGAGGCAGACAAGACCACTGGAGCATGTCATCTCTCAGGGCACTGGTATGAGCGAGAGGACACATCTGAACCTGGGCTGAGTGAGCTGGGACATTTAAGATAATTTTAAGAGACTGTAATCCTCAACCCCCAACTTGCCTTTTACAAAAAAGTATATAAAAAGCAATATTCTATTTTTAAATCAAAATGTAGTGGGGAGTGTTTCAAGTTGAGGTGAGAAGCCTCTCAAGAATTCACACACTATATCAGAGCAAAGAAAATATATAGGCAGGACTTCCCATGCTAAGCATGAGTAAAATAAAAGGAAATGATCTTGCAAATATATAAATATGCCATTAGGTGGGGGGGGGGGGAGAAATAACTTGAAAAATGAACAAAGAACCCATTCTGGAGAAGAATATAACCCTAGGAAAATAAGTAGGTTTCTTGTGAGTCTTTTACATTGCACAAAAATTGAATAAGAATATAGATTTGGTAAGATACAAGAGTTCAAATACTAGCTGATAAAGTAACAAAATCAGAGGAAAAGGAAGATTGAAATGAGAGAACAAATTAAAATCTAAATAAGATAATTCATTCAAATAATTAGAAATAGCAAAAAGGAAGGGAAGGAGGAAATAAGGAAAGGATGGGAAGAGAAAACTGGCTGAAAATCAAAGTAATAGCACAAAGGAAAGGGTTGGGCTAATCATTCTTAATTGTATTCATCTTTCTATTTTATCTCTTGCATTTAACAGTAAAAGAAAAGGACAGAAATGAAGAACAAAGAAATCCAATGTCCCTGAGGTGGAGAACTTAACTAATGAAAACAGAAAAAAAAAAAAAAAGTTCAGAGTATACAGTACAAAAAATTTGTCCAGCAATAAAGAACTCATCAAGGGTACACTACATATTAGGGGAAAATGATACACCACTGAGACATATCCTTGCTAAGTTACTAAACTTCAAGAAAACTAGCCTGGCTGGTGTAGCTCAGTGGTTGAGCATTGACCTATGAACCAGGAGGTCATGATTCAATTCCCAGTAGGGGGCATGCAAGAGGCAGCAGATCAGTGATTTTCTCTTATCGATCTCTCTCTCTCTCCTCTCTCTCTCTCTCTCTCTCTCTCTCTCTCTCTCTCTCTCTCTCTCCCTCTCTCCCTCCCTCCCTCCCTCCCTCCCTCTCTGAAGTAAATAAAAATACATTTTTAAAAGAAAAATAAAAGGAATTTGTTTACACACACACACACACACACACACACACAGTAAGTTACCTACAAGGGAGAAAAATAAGAACTAGCTAGCCTCAGACTTCTTCACAGTTACATCCAGTGGCAGAAGACAATAAAGTAATGTCTACAACATTCTAAGGGAAATAAAGTGTGACCCAAGAATATAATATCCAGCCAAGATACTATTCAAGTATAAAGGCACTAGGCAGACACTTTCATCATGAAAGAATGAAATAAAAATAGCTCCCACAATCTCTTTTTGAAGGAATTTCTCAATGAAAAAATCCAGGTAACTAAGAAATAATAAATCAAAGTAAAGAATTCAGAAATGCAGAGAAGTCATGGTACCATGAATGGTTATAAGCATACGATCCTTTTAAAAATGAACCAAAAATCAAACAAACAAACAAAAAAAAAACAGATAAAACAAATAGATGATTTATGATAGTGTAACAGAATGTAAATGCCATAATAATTTAAGTAATAAAAATTGGGAGTAGGAGGAAAAGTTGGGAGGGAGTGTAAGAAACCTAATCTCCTCTTTCATAACAGACAGTTTACTGATAATGTGCAATATTGAAATAGATAGCTTTAAAAAATGACTAAATGACTGACCCAGCAACTCTACACCTAGGTATCTATCTACCTAAGAGAAATTAAAACATATGTCCAAACAAAAACTTATAATGAATGTTCATAACAGCATTACTCACAAAAGTCAAAAAGTGGAAATAACCCACATGTCCCTAAACAGATGAAAGGAACAAATGTGATATTTACATATAATGGTATATTATTTGGCAATAAAAAGAAATGAAGTACTGATACCTGCCACCACATAGATGATCCTTAAAAACCTTATGCTAAATGAGATAAGATGGTCACAAAGGACCACATATTCTATGATTCCATTTAAGTGAAACATTCTGAATAGGTAAATATATAAAAATAGAAAGTATATCAGTGATTGCTTAGGGGTGGGGAAGGATAGGGAGGCTGTGGGAATGACAGCTAAAGGACACAGGGTTTCTTTTTAAGATGATGAACAGTTCTATAATTGATTGTGGTAATGGTTGTGCAATTCTGTAAATATACTAAAACCCACTGCATTGTACACTATAAGTGGATGATCTATATGGTAAGTGAATTTTATCTCGAAAAGTTCCTTAACAAAAAGACATTAGAAAAAAATTAATAACTGTTCAATGTTTTAATAATATTTTTCTTAACCTTAGAGGGATGTTAAGGACTAATATATTTTATGGTTAAAAAAAACACATTTGTCTGAATATTAGCAATTCTTCAACTTTACTTAAGTATTTCAGTCTCTGATAAATTCAAATAAAATTAAACAAAATGTTTTAAATTTATTATGACCCTATATTACAAGTTTTTTCTATGTACCTATTCACTCTTGCCTCTATGTTTAGATATGCAAAAAAGATATCTGAAATAATTTTCATATAATGTGAACCCTGAGAAATAGGAATTTGGGTGATTTGTTGCTTTCTTTATTATTTCCTACTAGAGGCCTGGTGCATGGATTCATGCACCGGTGGGGTCCCTCAGACTGGCCTGTGCCCTCTTGCAATCTGGAACCCCTCAGGGGATGTCAGACTTCTAGTTTTGGCCTGATCCCCACAAGCCAGGCCAAGGTACTCCACCGGTGCAGGAATCCATGCACCAGGCCTCTAGTATGCATATGATCTTTGGTTAATCTCTTCCCACCCTTCCCCTGCCCACTTTCCCTCTGAGATTCATCAGTCTGTTCCCTGTTTCCATGCCCGTGCATTGAGCATTTGCCCCCTGGTGGTCAGTGCACGTCATAGCTATCGGTTGAGCAGTTGAATGGTTGCTTAGGCAACCATTATATATATTTAATCTATATCTATATCTATATATCTATATCTATATCTATATATATCTATATATGTGTATATATATAGATACAGATTAAATTTTCAATAATGAGTATGTGTTATTTGTATTTATCTTTAAAAATTTCCTTACAAATAAATATGCCAAAGTATTATGGTTTACATATGGGTAGTAGGATTAGGAATATTGTTTTCCGCCCTTAAAAATATTTTCATTGATTTTTAGAAAGAGAGGAAAGGAGAGGAAGGGAGAAGAGAAACATCAATGTGAGAGGGAAACATCAATTGGCTACCTCATTCGTGACCCCTACTGGGGATTGAACCTACAACCCAGACATGTACCCTGACCAGGAATCAAACCAGCAACCTTTTGGTGCCTGGGCCAATGTCCAACTATCAGCCATATTGACCAAGGCTTTTCCCCTCCTTCTTTATTCTTTTCTGTACTTTCCCAATTTTCCTACAATAAGCATCTATTATTTTAGAGACAGAACAAAGTAAAAATAATAGAATTAAAGAAATGTATAGTAGTTCTTGAAATGATTGGTTCTTACCTGGGCTCCTTCTGTTGCTCCTGAATGATCTTTCTTCCTGGCCAGACATCATCCATCTGTGACTGATGATGGAAGGATTGTCCCACAGTCTCTCTTTTATTCACTTCAAGACAAACAAAACCATGGCAGAGTGGTGGTGATGGGGTGGGGGGAAAGGAAACACATTACACTTGAAAAAGATATGGCAATATAATCTTTATGTTCCCCCACAATCAGGTTGAGCCCATGAAGGTAAGATACCACCAATAAGAATACATGAGGATTTCACACCAGAGGATCTATGACTTGAGGTCAAACACCTAAAGGAACCACCTCCAGAAAGATCCTGTACCTGCAGGTTTGCGGCGCAGGGACATCCTGATTATCTCACTGCCTGTGCGGTAAGCAAAACGATTCAGTTTCTGGTCATAAAACCAGTCTCCAGTTGCCTTCTTCAGTTCTCTGGGAAGTAATATAAGAAAATGACAGATAGATAATGGTCCTTGTTATTCAACCAACGAAGGCTGAGAGGAGTAAGTCTCACCACAGCTAGGGCCTCATTTCCTCTCTACTCAGACCTAAGTGACACTCACATTTCCTTGGCGCACACCTTGCACCTCCAGGTACCATTGCTTTCATGGATACGGCAGTCTCGGCACACCAGATGATTACAACCCCGACAAGTGTTGGTCTTAGGAGTCAAACGGCCCAGGTTCTCCTGGCACCGGGCACAGGTCCGATCACTATAGTGTTGGCTGCCCCTCTTGGCCCCTTTCCTTTTTATCTCCAGTAATTCATTCTTTAATCGCCTGCCAAGACCCCAAAAAAAGAAGTACAAGTTGATTTGGGATCTGCACAGGTTAAAGAGAGAGGAATTGTGGAGTAGAGACAGTAAAACTATTTAGTTCTGTGAAAGCAATCACCTCAGAGCCCAACCTAAGCCAATGAAGAGTTGTAAACCTCATATATAAGTTCCTCTGAAAGTCATATGAGAGTTATAAGAAAGAGTCTGGATATCATTAGTCAAAGGCCTAGGAACCCATGCTTTTTCTGGAACTCTTACCTAATCCTTTTCTCATCTGCTTTCCGAAGTTCCTCATCTCGTTGTAGAACACTAAGGATCAAATCTCTTTCCATCTCAGACAGAAAAGAGAGGTCAAGCATCTCCGACATGATTTATTCTATTTTTTCTTCTATTCTTCTTTCTTCAAAACAACCAGAGTAGGAGAGCTACCAGTGTTGCCTGAAATAAGTTAAGAATTAATTACACACAGATAGTTTACTCCAGAATAGGCCCACAGCTCCAGAAGCTTTTAGTATTATAGATCATTTCCCCCTTGAGTCAGGCTAAAGAGACAATCAATGCAGCCTACCTGGTGTGGCCCAGTGGTTGAGCATCAACCTATGAGCCAGGAGATCATGGTTCAATTCCTGGTCAGGGCACATGCCTGGTTGCAGGCTCAATCCCCAGTGTGGGGTGTGTAGGAGGCAGCCGATCAATGATTCTCTCTCATCACTAATATTTCTCTCTCCCTTCCTCTCTGAAATCAATAAAAATATATATTTTAAAAAAGAGACATTGTAGAATTATCTGACCTATTTACTATTCTTACCCCCACCTGAATTAAAGATAGGCCTTTGATTTAAAATTAAGATGCTTTGATTTTTCAAGTAAAAAAACTTATTCATGACTCTGGGAAAGAGTTGGGTCTTTCATCTTGGTCAGGAAAGAGCTAAGACCAAATGAGTCAAACTCCCACTACACCAAGCAGATCCTCAATCATCCAATTTTTAATACTTCAAATGTTCTCAAGCCCCAAGTCTGTTAATGCAAAAAATCAGATAGCTTGTCTCTGTAGTAGAAGAGAAAACCACATGAGGACTCCTGCCAGTTGAAGCCCATTTGTCCTTTCCTGACCAACTTCCATGTTCCCAGGATTCAGTCAGCTTTCTGCTGCATTTCAAAACTTCCATCATCTACTCTATCTCCCAAAGTTATTTTTTTAATTTCATTTTATTGTTTAAAGTATTACAAATAGTTGTACATATGTCTCCTTTTTTCCCCATTGATCTTCCCCCCGGCTCCCCAGAAAACACTCTCACCGCCCCCCCTCCCAATGTCTTGCATCCATCGGTTGTTTATATACATGCATACAAGTCCTTTGGTTGATCTCATTGCTAACACTACTGCAAGGATATCTTCACCCATTTCATGCACATTTGTTGAGCACCCACTCTGACAACCATATGCAAAGTGTGGGAAATAGATCCGTAAAACAGCCCCTCCCTTAGGTTCACAGAGTAGTAGGGTGAACAGATACACAAAAATACAGTACAGTGTACTAGGTTCTATCAGAGGGATCATAAGTTAAATGCTATGGAACTTAGAGAAGGAAGTAACTTGCATAGAGAGAGAAAAGAGAGCATTGCATACATGGAAGGCTTTACCGAAGAGGTGAATTTTGTCTTATACAACAGAGTATATGTTTGCTGGTAGAGGACAATGGTAGGAGAGATACTCTTAAAAATGAAGAATTTTAAAATTCATTATATAGACAATACAAATCCATCAAACATCTTTGTTGTTGCTTTGTTTCTTATATTGGGAAGTCACATGATCAAATTCATTTTACAGAGATCACTCTAGCTATAATATAAAAGACTGATTTAAAGGACAGACTGAAATGAAATTTGGTAGTACATAATACATTGTAAAATATGCATACTTCTTAGGCAAGCAATATCACTTCTAAGAATCTACCTAATAGAAATATTCACACAAATGTGAATGCAAGGGTATATGTACAAGAAAGTTACTGCAACATCATTTGCAAGAGAAAAAAGTTCTTTAACAAAGGAATCATTAAACTAAATACTACTTCCATATAACAGCATACTATTTGGCCATTAAAAAGGTGGTAGATCTGCCGAAACCGGTTTGGCTCAGTGGTAGAGCGTCGGTCTGCAGACTGAAAGGTCTCAGGTTCGATTCTGGTCAAGGGCATGTACATTGGTTGCGGGCACATCCCCGGTAGGGGGTGTGCAAGAGGCAGCTGGTCGATGTTTCTCTCTCATCGACGTTTCTAGCTCTCTATCCCTCTCTCCTCCTCTCTGTAAAAAATCAATTAAAAAAAAAGGTGGTAGATCTATATGAAAAAGCATTCCTTAGTGGAAAAGAAGTAGTTGCAGGAAAATATTGAATGATCATTTTTGGTAAAGTATTTATCTATACATTTGTATGTGCTATAAGAGAAGAAATAGGTTTAGAAGGCAAGAAGCATAGTTTTTGTCATATTGAGTTTGTCCTGCATACAGCATCTCCAGGTAATTAGACCCAGGATGTTGGAGGCACAAAGCTGGACGTTAGGAAGAGAGACTATATCTGAAAATATGTATTTGGTAGTCATGTGAGTCAGAGCCCAGGAGAGAGATATGAGGTTCATACTTACTTTCTCTGCTCTCCCTTAAAACTAGACGACAAACCCTTTTCAACTTAAATTGTTTGTGTGGTTTTTGTTTTTTGTTTTGTTTTATGAATTCCCTAATGGATAATCCTATGCAATCCTATATAATAAAAGGCTAATATGCAAATAGACCAAACAACCACAACTGAACAACTGATCACTATGACATGCACTGACCACCAGGGGGCATGTGCATAACATGGTGGGCATTGGCTGCAGCGGTATGGTGGAGCAGGTGAGGGGAGGCGTGCCAGACCAAAGCAGGGTGCCAGTTGGTAGGTGCTGTCAGCGGGTACAAGTGGCAGTTGTCAGCCCCAATTGCCTCTCAGGGCTTCTCCACCTCCCCTTCCTCCTGAGGGGAGATCAGGGCCGGCAGCTGCCTCTCGCACCCGCTGCCAGTGATGGCCCCACTTACACCCACTGCCAGTGCCAGAGCTGCTGCTCTCACTCACTGCCAGTGTCGGCCCCGCTCGCACCTGCAGCCAGCACCCCAATCACCACTGGCACCCACTGCCAGCGCCCAGCACTGATCCTGATCACTCAGCGCCATCAGTGGATGCAAGCGGCAGCTGCTTGCCCTGATCTCTTCTGAGGGCTTCTCTACCCTCCTCTGCTCCTGAGGGGCAATCAAGGTAGCAGCTGCTGCTGGCACCCATTGCTGGCGCAGGCTCCAATCACTTCACACGTTCAGCGGGTGCAAGTGGGACCAGCACCATCAGCATATGGGAGCGGAGGTGGCCAGAGCCTGGCTGCCAACAGACAAGTGACCAGGGGCCATGGCAGGAGAGGCTGGGTGGGGGCTTGGAGGATGGACTGGGACCCACTTCTGTGGCTACCACAGCCTTGTGGCCCAAAGTTCCTTTCAAGGTTCATGAATTCCTACACTGGGCCCCTAGTAGAAATATAAAGACAGAAAGCTATACAAATTCCTGAAACCTCAACATTTTCTCCAATTGACTAATTCCTGGTCTTTATTGAACTATACAACAGCCTCTTCCCTAGGCTCTTTCTTAGATAGTCTTGAGGAAATCATCTTAATTCTTATCCCCAAGGAAAATATAAACTCTCCATTAGAACAAGGACTTTGTCAACTTTATTCTATGTATCTGGACCAGAACCTAACACAATACTTGGCACACAGAATTGCACATGCCACCACTATTACTGATTATCACTGTTATCATCACCCCAACATTTCCATTTATTGAAATTTTACTATATTCCAAGAAGTAAATATTTTACATATGTTAACTAATTTAATCTTTATAGAAACTCCAAGAGTGAGGTACTATAATCTTCATTTTATAAATGAGAATTCAGGAGAAGTTAGGTTAATTTTCTCATAAATAAACAGCAAGTAAATGAAGTTGCTGGGATTCAAACCCAGGCATTCTGATTCTAGAGCTAGTGCTTTAGAGGCTTGAATCAGGTAGGATAATGGCCAAAGCAATCTATACTAATAAAAGGGTAAAGGGTAATATGCAAATTGGTCAGGACACCCTCACAGTAACGACCGAACAGTAGGCAGTGTGGGGCACCCAGGCCAGCAGGGGGGTTAGTAAGGGACGACCAAATGACTGAACAGCAAGCTTTGTGGGTGACCAGGCCAGCAAGGGGGTTAATGAGGGACAACCAAATGACTGAACAGCAGGGTGACCAGGTCAGCAAGGTGGGGCAGTTGGTGACAACCAAGCTGGCAGGGGGGGCAGTGTGGGATGACCAGGCTGGCAAGGAGACAGTTGGTGGCAACCAGGCTAGCAGGGGCAACAGTGAGGGGCAGCCAGACCAGAGGGGGGGAGTAGAAGGCAACCAGGCTGGTGGGGGGGTGTTGTGGGTGACCAGGCTGTCTGGGGGGGGCCAATGAGGGCCAATCAGGCCAGCGAGGGGGGCAGTTCGGGGCAACCAAGCTGGCAGGCAGAGGCAGTTAGGGGTGATCAGGCTGGCATTGGGGCAGTTAGGGGCAGGCAGGCAGGTGGGCAGTTAGGAGCCAGTGGTCCCGGATTGGAGAGGGTGCAGGCTGGACTGAGGGGTCCCTCCCACTCCTGTGCACAAATTTTGTGCACCAGGCCTCTATTTATAAAATATTGAACAGAGCCTTGTGGAAATGAATTATCATATGTGTGGTTATGGCTAAAGCACTGCTCAACAAATCAGCAGCTCCTGGATTACACAGGTATCATCAATTTCCTAATCTCCAAACTCAGCTGGACCCTCATTATATTTCTACTAGCTTTTAGTTCAGTTCCCTTACCTAATGCCTTTAGGTTCTTTTTATTTTATTTTATTGATTTCAGAGAGGAAGGGAGAGGAGGAGAGAGAGACAGAAACATCAATGAAGAAAATCACCCATCAGTTGCTTCCCGCATGCCCCACACCGGGGACTGAGCCCACAATCTGGGTATGTGCCCTGAACAGGAATTTAACAGTGGCCTCCTGATTCATAAGTCGATGCCCAAACACTGAGCCACACCAGCCAGGCCAGGTTCTATTTTAAGGCTTCCTGTCACACTCCTCCCACTTCCCATTGCTCAAGTCCTAACAGACATCCTTATCTCATAATTGCAATATATATATATTTAGCTTCAGTCATTCATTACCTCCATTATCTCACTGTCTCTTCTTTCCCATCACTTAAAAATCTTTCAGAAAACCCACATCCCATCCCCAGCCCTACCTTCAACTATGGGTTGCTGAGATTTCCAACATTAA